TAAAATGTAATTTATTCTTGTGATCAAAGCTGAATTTTCAGCATCTTCAGTGTCACATAATCCTTAATATGCTGATTTGCTGCTGAAGAAACATTTCTGATTATTATTAATGTTGAAAACAGTCATGCTGCTGAGTATTTGTTTGTGGAAAACACTATACTATTTATTTTTAAGGATTCTTTGATGAATGGAATTTTTGAAAAACAACTGGATTTATTTTTAATAGAAATCTCTTGTATCATTAAATGCCTCTGCTGTCACTTTTGCCTCTGCATCCTTTATAAATAGAACTATTAATTCCTTAAAAAAAACGTACCTACCCCAAACTTTTGAACGCAATGTAGTATAAATTTACAATAAATAAAACCCAAAAACTACAGCACACAATTATTATATGATAATGAAATGATAAACTGCAGCATGCAACTAAATGGTTCTATTTTGAAAAAGTTTTAACACTGTTTAACACTATAACACTTTTTCTCCGTCTCTCTCTCAGGCAGCAGAAGTGTTTGTTAAAGGCTCTAGAGAGGATCGATGCTGACGATCAGTCTGATGTCACCAACAGCAGCAGCTTCACTCTGACTGTGAGTATATCTGTGTTAACATGTACTGTACAGTAGACAGGTGACCTATGAATGAGAAAAGACAACATCTTAAGGTGTTCTGCCAGGTTTATGGACCATAGTAATCACTCAACCAGCTCTAACCAGCTTGATCCATCATGGCTTACTTAGTTTACCAACCGCTAGTATGTCTTTAAGTGACTAAATCTTCTCTGATTGCATGACGGCAGAGGGAAGCATCTCTGCAGGTGACGCCCACTCTTTACGTTACCATGGAGATCCTGTCAAACTGGGGTCACCCGGGTCAGGTGGGACTCACAGAAGTTCAGTTCTTCTGTCCACAAAATCGCAAACTCTACGTGTCTCCACATGACCTGGACATTCGCAACACGGACCAGCCCGGGAATCTGGCTGCCCTCGTCAACGGAAAAACTAAAGTAAGTGGGGAAAACATACTACTGTAGAACAAAGATAATAATTGATGCAAATAATTAGCATGTGTTCCATATCTCTGTGCTTTTAGACCACAAAAGAGCGTCATATGTGGGCTTGTCCGTTCCACCCGCCCGTCCAGCTGTATTTTATCGTCAGGAATGTGGAACGAACTCCGAACTTCAACATCTCTCGGATCAAAATGTGGAATTATAACCACAGCCTTAATGTAAGTACAGCCAAAAGTATAAGCTGATCGATAAAACAGTGTTTACTGAAAGCAAGAGCAGGACATCCATCAATCCAAATGATCAATCCAAGTGTTCATCAGCAAGAATATTTGCTGACATACTGCAGATTAAGCACTTACAAAACACATGATCAACACATCAGCGAGCCAGCAAATATGCTTTCTATTTTACATATTTCTATGGATTTTTCCGACCTGACTCATGTGAAGAGAGCGTGAAGCAGCTCATGATCCGGTGTTTTCAGTGTCTCAGAGCGGCAACCTTCTTCTCAACCAATGCAACACATGCCAAGCAACTTAAATTTGTGAATCATTGTGAATCAAATCATCTGCTGTCAACAAAAGAAAAGCTTCAAGGTGTGCCTGCAATTTTCCACCAAAATAAATGAATTGAATTAATTCTTAAATAAATAATTATTATTATTGCTATTATAGTAGTACCCTTTTGTTATTTTACAGTACAATAGTATTATTTTAATAGTAATCAGTTTCTTTATTTAATTTGTAAAATTTAAATAGTGATAAAAAATTGTAATAATATTATTATTGGTATTATTGCTGTCTTTATAATAATAATAATAATATTATTATTATTAAGTACCCATTTGTTATTTTACAGTACAATTGTATTATTTCAATAGTAATAAGTTTCTTTATTGATTAGTTAATTAAAAAAAAAATGTAATAGTAAAATAATGATAATAATAATAATTATTATTATTGTGTAGTATATTGAATAGGGGAAAAACAGGTTTTCCTGCTGTGTAATGAGTAAAGGGAACCAGTTCAAATAAATCTTTATAGCAGTCAAAAGTAAATCTTACCTGGCCAAATGAAGGACTTTAAGAGAGAAAGCTTGGGAGGAAACAAGATAGACTTGTATGCAGTTGCTAGGGTGTTCTGGATGATTGTTTGGTCTGAATCAAGAGTTCTTTAATGTTCGTCTGTGGGGTGAAGTTGGAGTAGGTGAAGTTGTGCGTCAAAAATTGTGAGCAAACACCAATGTAATGTAAATGTAATGAAGAGTTATTATGCTCTCTTGCCCTATTGTAAGATATCAATTCATGCAAAAACAGAAAAATGTGTGTGTATGTGGAACAGTTGGAGATTAGCTGCAGGGATTAGCTGAGTTTAGCTCCCCCACACCAGCGCTCTGTCAGTCTGATCACTGCACTCGTCTCCAGCATGAACGTCTCTTTACACACTAACTGACATACAGATACGGACAGATTCAACGGTAGGGAGTGACTCGTGTCTCTGTGTGAGAGAATGTGTGAGTGCTGAGATAGTGCTGTATGGATGTCCCTCCTGTATGTTTTTTTTATTTCATTTCTAGTCTAAAGTATGTAGTGTTCGCTGAGTCAAGCATCACTATTACTATGACTTAGACTTGGAGTTAGGGGTTTGTTCAAATAAATAATTCTAAGTATTAGACTTTGACGCTTGGGTCAATATCACCATAGAGTGCCTTTCAACCCTCACAGTACTCAAAAAAATGTTGGTTTTAATTTCCCATTCGCTTTATGTCATGTCATA